ACAAAAAAAATATGAAATTTGAAATAAAGGCAGTTTATCATGGTCTTTTCCCCCGAAAACGTCACCTGGACATAGTCGTTTTTGTTTGAAGTGACAGATGGGCACAGAACAGAAGCGCTGTCACTGTCAGATAAAATGAATTATCTTTTTCACATGGAACCACAGTCAAGGAGTGAGATATATTGAAAGGATAACACCTTTTATTATGTCAGGTTGTTCGAAAAACTTATGATTATTATCTTATCTGCAGTAGTAGATGGTCAGAGTGCTGTCTATTCTGAGACAAAGAGGGATTTCCTGCTAAATAAATACAACTTATCTTCTTTTAGATTGGGTTAAAAGATAAGTTATTTTCACCCTCTAATATCCCAGATTGAAAAAGTCACTGTGACTCAATTTGAAAACTACAAAGTAGATTTTATTTACTTTTTTCCTATTTGCATTACATGGGTTAGGTCTGCGCTCGACACACACGCATGGTTCACCTCAGGAGAGCTACCTCCTCCGGACAAGACTCGACTGTACATCTACACCTTATGGACAGAGGACATACTTTTGAGGACCAGAATGATCCCATTTTGGAAAAAGGAGACAGGTGGTTTGAAATGGGTGTGAAGAAGGCGATTCATGTTAAAAGAGAGAAACCAACCTTAAACAAAGAGGGTGGACTTAAGTTTCAGCTCTCAAAGACCTAGAGCACAGTGATAGAGTTGATTCCTTCACACTAAGCCAATTTCTATTCTAAGCCAAAACAAAGCTTGGTCTGGTTCACTCTATGAAGCTTGGAACTCAAAGCTTATTCTGACATTTTTAATTGAAAAAACTGCCAAAGACAATATTTGGTTCTGGGTTTCCGGAGTAGACTGAAGCTGTTAAGCAGCTAAATAATTGGTAGATTTCTATGATCTCTTGCCCTTTTTTCTGTTTCCAGATACTTTGCTGCTACTGTAAATTTACGGAGGGCGAGGGATGCAAACACCCTGTAAAAAAGGTTTTACATGAAAGTGTCCTACAAACAATGAGTTTCCTCATCCAATTTTTGTATTTCCTGGACTTCTGTGAGGAAGCTTGCTTTGTCAAACTGCCAACATTATTACTCGAATCTTCAACAGTTCTCAGGTACTGGGTAAGTATATCTTCAGCTTCATATCCTCAACAGTAAACTTCTCCTGAAGAAACATAGTAGGATAAAGACTAAATATGTATGTGGTCATGAAATCCTTTGAGGAATTGGTGATGAAACATCTAAAGGACAATATAAACCCACTATTCCCTAAAACCAGTTTCCCAGTTGCCCCGGCAGAGGAAGTAGTGGTTGGTCCTCTGCTGCAATCAGAACCAAGACTCAAGAGACACTGAGACACTGCTCAGAGAAAGGCCCAGCAGGAAGTATAGGTCCTGCTGCAAAACAAGAGGTTCAGCAGATGCTGCTGGTCTCATTCCATCTACATTGCCATTATTCAGCCTGTTCTTTGGAAATCCATCACTGTGTGGTGAAGTGTGTTTGTTTTCATACTTTGGACACTAAATGTTAAGACTTTTGCTACCAGCTTGGCTCTAGAAAGAGCTCTTTGCAAAAAAAAAACAAAACAAAAAAAAAACAAACAAAACAGAGACAGCTTCTTCTCCAAGGCCATATCTCTAATGAACAACTTTTTATTAAGCTGCTCTCCTGCGAGACAAATGAGGCATATTGCACACATTGGCAATCTGCCAATCTTTCTGTCTTGTTTTGATATATGTAGGTATATAAATAGAATTATCAGGCATATAAATAAACACACCCTCATTTATAAGCTTTAATTCATTTCCTCTAACATATGTTCTTTTATATATAACATCTCTATGTTAAGGGCCACTGGAACCAAAGTCACATTGCTTGTATTTGAATACAATCAAAGCCAAACTCCTCTAAACCCAAAGGTGTCCAAAAAAATTTGGACCTACTTGGTGGCAACAACTGCAATCAATCATTTACATTAACTAACATGATGAAACAATGATTTTTTTGCCCATTCTTTGCAAACTTTAGTCACATCATTAGTTGTTAACAGTAAAAAGTTTATTTTTTTTTAATAATTATTATTTTTTTAATCTGTCTCTTTTAAACTCTTACTTTAGGGAAACAAATGCTTTTTTGTTACCTGAAAGATCTCAAGTTGTGAAGTGTAGAAACCATCATAATCACTACTCTGCTGTAATGAAGTCCAGCTGGTATCACTAATGAAACTGTTCTCTTTGTGTCTGGATCAAATACCGAATCACTTGAGAGTCAGTTCAATTTAGATCTTACCATATTTATATTATTTAACTTTAATATATATTATACTTATATTACCATTTAAAAATGAATCTTACGTCAAAGCCTCTTCCTTTCTTAAATAATCCTCTTTATATTGTCACCACATACAAATATCTTGGAATTGATCATGTGCAAGCCTTATGCACTAAGCTCAACAATAAAAATATGTTTAATCTGAATTAGAACACATTCAACATTCTCTATTTCCAATACTAACCCACATGCTATAATAATATCAGTGATCCCATGATGTTTCCCTGTTTGGTAAACCGTTATGGACAAAGATCAGTCAACCCTCAATATATTCAACCCTTGTATTCTACACTCTGTTCACTTTTCACAGAAACAACTGTTAAAAGTCTGCTGCGTAATAATTTTTTTTCTTTACAGTTGTCAACAATGGGTGGTGAGGTTGCTTGAGGACCCAGATGCAGAGACAAGTGAAGCAGAGATGAGTTTTAAGAGGTTTAATTGCAGACCAAATAGCAGCAGAGGCAGAAATCCAGAAATCCAACTTAAAATATAAAACAAACCAAAATCATGGAGACATCAGGGGAAAAACGGGTCTGAGGAGCCGGGGAGAGACGAGCAGAGTAGATAACACAGCTACAAGAAGGAACCAGCACTGAGTGACTGCAGAGGTGGAGTATTTAAGTAGAACCAAACAAAAGGATGGACTAACGAGCTGAATGGGGAGCAGGTGTGGGTGGAACTGGCAAGAGGGAATCCAAGGGGAAAGAAAACAATCACAAGGGGGCAACAGAGAGTAAGTAAAGAATGCTTGAAGATCATGGAAAATAAAAACAAAACAACTGATAACAGAAAACTGAAAACTCAGAGTCACAACAAATAAGAACCATAACAAGAGTAGGGTGATTTGGTACATCGGTTTTTGGTTTATGGAGTGGTGTAATATTAAAATGTACATTTTTTCAAGTTTTCCAGAAGAGGAACCTGTTGTAAAAGTATTTTAATCTATTTTTTCCCCCAAAGAATTAAGACAGAGATAAATTGTGAATTTTAGGTCATATTGAAATTCTTGGCGTTGACTTTAGATTAACCATAAAAAAAACAACAACTTGATTTTGTGTTTTTCTGAGCCTCTGTCTTACAGTAAATAATAAAAAACAATTTTTATTATTTACAATTGAGATTTAAAGGATGACATTAATGAGTCAGAGTTTCTTTCTTTAAGCTGTCCTTTCAGGATAAGAGGATATAAAAATAGTTTGTACCTTCAAAAGCATATCCCAACAACCACAAGTTTCTCCACTGCAGTTTGCTTTGTCCTTGTACTGAATTATACTATACAAAAAAACTTTCCTTGTCTTGCCTGTGTGGCCGCTACCCTTCAGACTGTTCACACTGACCTACGAACCACATAAAAATCTCCCTGCAAGCATATTGATCCACTAAAGCATCAACCCTGAAGAAAACCAAACAAGGTAACTTATTTTGATGAATCATATTTCTTTTGTTTATCACCATATGGCCTAGTTTACCTGAGGAATATGTTATATATGTTTATGCTGTTGGCAGATGGAAAGCTTGCAAAAGCCAGAAAATATTTACATATTTACATTTATCTTAGCGTGAATAAATTCACAGCCACAAACATCTTCACAGAAATCTCTGCAAAGCAAGAATCTGATGAAAATGTATAAAATATACAGGAAAATGTCTTTAAGACTGCATTAACTAAGTATGAAATTTAAAATGGTTTATTAACAACTTAATTAACAACGAATTCCCCAGATTCCCCTCATCATAGTCTGAATGAACAACATAAATGATACAGCTGAAGACTAAAATTAAAAAGCTCAAGGTATTTTTTTTTATTTGCAGACATATATAAAATAAAACAGTAAATAAAATAATTAAATTTTTCCGTGTTCTATTTCAAAAGGAAAATACTAAATTATCTTTGCACACAAGTACATCCTTTATCTTTATCTGTATCCTTGAACCCCAGTCGGCCTCGGCAGATGGCCGCTCACACTGAGCCTGGTTCTGCTGGAGGTTTCTTCCTGTTAAAAGGGAGTTTTTCCTCTTCACTGTCGCTACAAGCATGCTTAGTGTGAGGGATTGTATTTGAGTCAATGAGTCAATGCAATCAACTGGTTTTCCTTAGATAGAAAACTTTGTATCAATTTGACTGTATGATCTGGTTGAACTGTAAAGTGCCTTGAGATGACATGTGTTGTGAATTTGGCGCTATATAAATAAACTGAATTGAATTGAATTGAATTATCTCCTTTAACCTAGCAAGGTTCTGTCATGTTTATAGTTCCATTCTAACAGGTGTCAGGGTTTTTTCTAAAGATTTCAGCTGTATCACTCTTTAATGCTGATTGTTGGAAGATGCATGGCTGTTAAATCTCTATTTAACTAATCCTTCGATTTTGGAAGAGCCCCATAAAAGCAATATTTTCCAGAGACAGACAATAAATAAATAAAATAAAAAGTCTAAAAATCACTTTAATAAGTCGACTGGCTATACATGTAATTGAAAACCTTTTAGGTTTTTGATTATCACTGGATTGTATTAAAATCTAATCTACAGACTCACTAAAGGTAGTGTAGTATATTAGAGTGGATGAAGATGCAAAGCATTCTTCTCATAAAAAAAAGAAAAAAAAAAGGTTCATTTGTGGCCGTACCTTTTAAATATGCTTTGAGGAATTACCTCTCCCGACATCTTTAGTGCCTTGTACTTTGCCAATTTACTCAAAAATAAGTTAAAATAGAATAGAATTGAGCTTTATTGTCATTACAGTGTCACAAGTACAAAGAAAAACAATTAACTCTCTGCATTTAACCCATCCCCTTGGGGAGCAGTGGGCTGCTATTTTGCGGCACCCGGGCAGCAGTGTGGGGTTGAAGGTTTTGCTCAGAGAGCAAGGAGTGGCAGTCTGTGGGAGTGGGGCTTGAAATAAGAACTTCTGGGACCCAAGCGCACTGCCCTAACCACTAGATTACCACTCCCCAAAGTGATTACTGTAAATTGATCAATCAAAGTTTTATTTGTGGTAACCCGCTAAAACTGGGGAGATACCTATATAAACAATAAAAGTAAACACAAAAACCAAATCCCAAACAGAAAACTAAAACGAGCAACAAAGAACAAACATAACATTTATAGCTAAAATAAAAAAACATCTGACGGAACAAAAAATAAAATTATATGGGAAATGACAAGAACATACTGGACAACAGGAAAACATTAAAAACGAACAAATTTTTTTAACCATGACTAAAGAGCAATGGACGCCTAAACATGATTTTGTTTATTTTACTATAGCAGAGACAACCTCAACATTATGCACTGTCCCACTGGAAAAGGGAATTATCACAAACACTGTATAAATATTTGTTCTTTTCTTTTTACTATTTTTTCTAACTTTTGCAATGACAGTCATAATGGGCTCATCAAAAGCTTTTCATCCGTGATGTTTCATTTGTGTCAGGCTCTTTATCATCACGGCTGCTGCTTTACGCTGCAAGAGTCTGCAAAGATTCTGGAAAAAAAAAAAAAGAGAGAAAAATGATTTTTCTTGCACCATGTAACAAGGATGGAGGAGGAAATGTCAGAGTAAATAGCCCGCAGGAGAAAGAGAACAAAACAAACAGAGGCTATAGCAGGTTTGATCTGCTATTTATGAGAAAGCGGAAAAACAAAGAAAGAATATGAAATCAATAGCTTCCTAAATCACCTGAGAGAATGTCCTGGGAGGCTTCTGGGCAGGCCTCCAGCACACGGATGGGCAGTCCATGCACCCACACACTTATGCACATGAGAAATAGAAGCACACACTCAACTCTGCAAATTCAAAAAATATGTTCACCTAACTTGAAGACTGCATGTAATTCTTTCTCTAACAATAACTCATGTAGACAGTTTACATGATTCCTCGTACACCTTAACGCACCAACAATAATTTTCACCTCTTTCACACAGGCAGATGCTCTCCGACATTCATTGTGAAGTCCCACACAATCTGTGGCACGCATGTACAAGAGTAATCGGAGATTCCCAACACATTCAACACTGCATTCACAGAGGAAACCAGAAATAAGCTACCCTCTTTTCAATCTGTTTCTGTACTGTCACAGAAACATGCATGACGCCAGTCGCTTTCAAGCATCCCTGTTTCTCAGAATGTGTTGGACAAGCACTTCATGCAAAAACAAATCTTTTGAGCTTCTATTGATATACATATATGTCAGCTTTCACCTGAAAGAAATAGATTACACCTGTATTTCTAACTAAAAGGATAAAGGATGAAATACAGCATGGGGTAGCTGTTGTAAATACACACAGTAAAATGAAGCATGGAGATAAACTAAGCAAATAAAAATTATGGATTCCAGTTTTGATTGTAACTTAAGGCTGTGGATTTTTTATTCACATTTCAGCTTTAAATAGCTTAGCTGCAATATTTGACTCCTAAATTACTTTTACTGCCACTTAGTTTCACACTGCCTGGCTATTTGAGGAAGCGGGTTTCTGGGCAGAATAAGCATCAGGCAATTTTTGTGACCTTTCTTGTCAGAGAAAATTGTTCAAGTCAAGTCGACCTGTTTCCTATGCATCTTGAGTTTATTTTCTGTCTCTTTTCATATGTTTCACTACAGGTCCTTTCCCAATCCTTGACAATTCATCCTTTGGTTTTTGTTAACAGTTTTTGTCCCTTAGCCTTGGCTTTTTGCAATCCACATGAATACGAGCTTAGTTGAACGCATGGTCCGCTAAGTTTAGACCTCCCTAAGAGGAGAGAGTGTGTGTGTGTGTGGGGTGGGGGGGATGTCTCATAATTAATTTGCAAAGACGGATCTCCATATATTAACATGATCAGGAATGATACACAGCATGGTTTCACATCTCCCCAGTGGGGGGCAATTATGTCCTGAGTGCTTGCTGTGTCCCAGAATGAAGATACAGAAGTGACATGTTAATGTTAAACAGAGGAATTAAATGCTGCAGGGAAAAAGAGAATGCATCAAGACAACATGATGATAATAATGCAAAGTATCCTAACTGAAGAGCAGAAAGTTACTTGGAAAAATATTAAATGTATGAATAACCTTTAACTTTTAATCACAAATCAACGGCTAAATTATCCAAATTAAATAAACAAATGCAGAATTGTATGGTTTGCACAACTTCATTATTAGACTTTGGGTGTTATAAAGATAATTATATAATCATACTGGGAGACAGTACAAATGTTAGCCATGCAAAAGTGTAAGCCATCTTCACCAAACATTTAGCCTTTATTAAACAGTGGCAAAAGGAAATGCAACAGAGGCAGAAAAGTCATCCTTAATGCCAACTAGATTAACAGTTTGCTCTGGTCACCTACCCAGCAGACAGACTATGTTGTATTAATGTTGGTTCTTGGTTTATTTGGCTTTCAACATTGTACTTTATCAATGTAGGACAACTAAAAGCTGACATTGATACAATGTCAAAAGCTAATGTCAGTTAAACCTGACATTTTTTTACATCAATCTGATGTTGTCATTTAGTGTTTTTAAGTTGTGTTGGTTAATAATCAATATCCAACATCTGCTAATGTTCAACCTAGAAAGGATTTAACATTAATTCAGCTCTCTTTTTTGCATCATAATTCAATGGTAATCCAATGTTGGGATACAAGTGGCTAAAAAGTTTCCTCCATAGTGTCTCTGGGCTTTCCCTTAGAGATAGGGTGAGGAGCTCAGTCATCTGGGGAGGACTCAGTGTAGAGCCACTGCTCCTCCACATCGAGAGGAGCCAGTTGATGTGGGCCGGGCATCTGGTTAGGATGCCTCCTGGATGCCTCCCTGGAGAGGTGTTCCAGGCAGGTCCCACAAGGAGGAGACCCAGAGGGAGATCCAGGACACGCTGGAGGGATTACGTTTCTCGGCTGGACTAGGAATGCCTTGGGATTCCCCTGGAGGAGCTGACCCGAGTGGCAGGGGTGAGGGAAGTCTGGGCCTCCCTACTGAAGCTGCTAAGCCCGCAAACCGACCCAGATAAGCGGAAATGGATGGATGGATGGATGGATGGATGGATGGACTGATGGATGGATGGATGGATGGATGGATGGATGGATGGATGGATGGATGGATGGATGGAACATTGTTTCAATGTTACATCAAAATCAATTGCCTCCTTTCTGTCCTAAATTAAAGTTTGCACGGTAATAGGATAATGGTGCCGTCGTGAAAAAGGGACAAGACTCCATGTACTCTTTACCTGCTAAAAGAAATATATACATATATATATATATATATATATATATATATATATATATATATATATATATATATATATATATATATATATATATATATATATAAGGCCGTCCTACAGTACGTGCTCATCAACAATTTCAACAAATTTGATTTAGGAGTCTGAATTCATACTTGCACATTTCAGATCTTCAGCTGTGAATAAATGGTCAACCTGTGTATCCGTTTTCTCTAACTTTATAGCTATGCTAAATGTAATAGGTTTAAAGATTGTTAATAGTTTGGAGAGGTACAATAAAAATACAAACAACCTGAATTTAATATAAGTAAAATGGCTGCTTTGCCATAAATGCATTTATTTTCTGAACCACCAAATTTAATATTTGAAAACTTGACTGACCTACTTATTTAGGTAACACTAACTTGAGCTTTAAGCTGAATAGAGAACTTGGGGCTGACTGAGATGCACAATTGGGTCACGCCAAAAAACAAGGCTCTGCTTGGTAAATTGAGGAATATATATTTATGCTATTTTTTCTCTAGATGTGCTCAAACAAGGCTGGGTGAGCATGCTTTGAAATGACTCACTGAGACTATGTCCTGCAATAGAGATATGAATATTATATATGCTGCCAAACATAATGCAGTCCTAGAAGGAATAATTTTGGTCATAGAGTTATACAATTGCCGCCAGTGTAAACAAAGCTAATACAAGACTGAGGAAGGAAGAAAAAAAAACACATAGCCCTTGAAAAGGGAATGTGTTCAATACTTTTCCCCTGTGCCATTCGATGTTATTACATATAAGTTCATTTCTGGACATCAGTGGTTTGATTTCTTTGAATGTTTTGATTGCATGCATTGTTACTGACGTCTGGTGAAAATGTCATGTCAATAACACCTCTAGAAATATATTTACTGAGGAAAATGGTGGCGTGTTCAATACTTATTTCACCTGAGGTACTTATTATACTAAGAAGAGGCGGAGAATAAGCAAAAAGCTGTGGTTGTATTTTGCATAAAACACTGGACACTGATATACCGTTGTAAGATTAAATTTGTAGAAGCACAACAATGGATGGGGAAAAAGAATATTACTGTAAGTGAGAGTCGTGGTGAAAGCTGCTTTCTCCTTGGGAGGAGGTGGAATGTGAATATCTAATCAATAGCCATCAGACACAGTAGGATTTAGCATCTTACGTTGCACAACTCAGACACCCCAAGGCAAGCTGAGCACTTAGACCTGAGCAATGGAGCATGAATGCTCTGTCACAGTAAACTGCTGTGATACAAACAAAGAAGAAGGCTCTGCAGAGAACAGTCCACGATAATTCTGCTCCCTGAACACCACCAGTCTTGACAAGCTGCATGTGTATCTTTGGACTGTGACCATGCAAGCTGCCCAAGGAGAAACAACCAAGTTTTTACATGACATATTCTGAAAGATAAAACCACAAATGCAACTGTTGACTATCTTAATCAGAGGATGGATTGATGGACAGACAGACAAATAGAGATGTACCACCTTAAATATACAGCAATAGGATTGCAACTATAATACAGTATTACCTATTAGATGGTTGCAGTGAACTCATGTTATCTTTCTCAAAAATTATAATATTCATCTGTTTAAACTTCTATCCTACAAGAAAGCGTTTGCTTTAAGAAAAATTTTGTCTATTTAATGATGCATTATCAGAAAAAAAGGATTGTTTTTATACACTGTATGTAAATATCAATTTTTTCTAACCACTTGCTAATTATATATCTCGCTAGTTGATCCAAAACAATGGCTCCCAAGCGTTTCATCATCTAACACAAAACAACAGCAAAAGAGACCCCTGACCCAGCTAGCATTGCCTGAAGTGCATAAAACATTCCAAATATGCTAATTAAACAATAGCAATGCAAACTGGCTGAAAAAAGTATTTTTTATCTCCTTTCTTTTCCTTTGCCCTCTTATAACAGTTGTGTTGAAAATATTGTGATTTAATTAACCTAATTAGTGCAGCTTATTGAGACCTAAAGCAAAGCATCCAGTGGGGCTTCATATTCAGTTAAAAGAAACAGCTGTAGTCAAGTATTTGTGGTTGGAATTGCAATTATACAAAAGTGAGATTTTTTTCCCAGACTGACTAAAAGAAATGTAGACTGTTTACTGTGCTGTTTAATTTGTTTTTTTAAGCTAATTAATAATCTTTAACACGCAACACCCTTTTACTCTTTGTCTAATAGTTTTTATGTTTCTCAAAAGTGGGGCCCAATTATATTCAAATGTTTTTTTTCTAGTTTTTAATGGCCACTAAACTGCATTTAACATCAGGAAGTTATATCATTTTATTCACTAACATTTAATTGATAGGTTGTACTTTGCTGTCTCCAAAGCTAATCACAAAGCTTCATCATCATTAAGGATTAAGAGCCTTGCTTTGAGTGACTCTATAGTCGTAGTCACTTTAAATTTTTTTTGGGGGGGGGGGGGGGGGGGGGGGGGGGGTTACTTGCTAGTAATATCATATTATTATTTTGAGATTTGAAAAAAAAAGTTGCTTTGCATCATTTTAAAAGTATTCAAAATAATGAAGAAGCAAAATTAGACAAGGTTTCAATAACATCCTTATGTATTTTCATTTTTTTTTTGCAATAAATTATGTTTTGAACTTTTTCTTCGGGTGCTATTAGTTTTAGATGTTATTTATTTGTAGATTTAGATACAAAGCTTTTTTATATTTTCATATTTATTTTTCACTTTAAGCTCTTTTTGTACTATTTTTATTTGGTTTCATCAGTTTGAGATCTTTGTCATCAATCTGTTGAAGGAGGTAGAGCATCAGATGTGAATGCTGAGGGAAAATAATGTACAGCATGCCTAACATTGCTGAAGTGATTGCCCCTACCATGTATGGTTCATGAAACATGCCAAGTTTTTTATTTATTTATTTTCTTTTACATTTTCATGGTTATGTTTAAGATTTCCGGTTCTAATTCAGCTCATCATTTGACTTATCAGTTAGGTCTGAATAAGGTTTATCTGGGCTGGATTCCTGCCATCCAGGGCTTAAACAGATCTAGAAAAGAGCAGCTACTCTAACATTTTGCACTCTCCACACTTCCTGGGAAAATAACCATGTTAATCTTTTACCTTCAGGTCAGTGCTATAAAGCACTATGTGCATAAATCAACCACAGAAACCAGTTCTTTCCCCAGGATTTCATTCTAATAAACTCTTTGCATCTATTAAACCTTGTCTTTCTCTTTTATACTTCTACCAAAATGTTCTCATACAAAGGGAGTGTGTTGTTTGCAAAAACTCTACTTAAAAGAGTGATTGGGATTTTGTTCACGTGAGATGAAGGCTGCCTAAAATGGAGTAGTTCCAGACTCCCCCTATAATAGTGTAGAACACAGCAGTCAATTATGAATTCAGTCTTGACATAGGTTATTAAAAAAAGAACTTGTAAAAGACTTGAGTTGCAAATCAGCTTGCCGAGGAGGCAGTAAAGGTAGACAGGGTAATGCAGCTTTAATAAGGGCAGTGTCAGATGTGCTGGTATAACGTGCAAATGAAGTCGGCTATCCAAGAAATATTAGGTTGTGGAACAGTAAAAAAATGTTATGAGATGATGAGGTTCTGTTTAATATCGTGCAGTTTTCTACAGACAACCTTTCAAACATGGGACGTAAACTGATTTTTTTTATGGCTAGTTAGAGGTTTCAAATCCTGGTTTTTATGTATTCAAGAAAGACATTTGATCATTGGAAATTAGGTTTCTTAGCCTTTAGGTCTCATTACCATTTGTATAAACACAAAAGATAGTTAAAAAGAAGCCAAAATTGGTCATTGGTGTCTCTTGTCAATTGCCTTTTTAGACGATGCTGAAAAGAGAACAAAAATAAGTAAAAACTGTTTTAAAAAAAGGAGTTTTTCCCCCTTTTTGAGTAGGTACAATAAAACTATTTTCTGCCAATAATATTTTAATTTTAGTCCCTGAAATAAGATATGTGTATACGTTTTGTTTTAGTTAACCTTTCGCACTTGTTCCTGTTACTATTGTTTACAAAGCTTTTGTTTTATGGTTTGTTTAGATAAATTAAATAATTTCAGTACACTCAATTTTTTATTTTCCCAGAAATTGCTTCTCTACAGTATAAAGCTACAGATGTCAAAGGAATGAGTAGATCACTTTGCCACTTGCTTTTGTAGTTTTCATGGTTTTGGTGAATCAACCCTTTTTTGGTTTAAAATACAGTAGAGCCATCTGTTTCATACCAAACCTGTACAGATTCACACTTATCAATAAGATAGGTTACACCTGATTTGACAACTGAAAACTTTAAGATGTTTTAAGCAATATTCAACTTTTTATGTAAAGAAATGTGGCTACGTAATTCCAATTAATAGTATAGTATATATATAGTATTATATATTGGAATCATGTAGCCAAACCTTGGAAGCAGGGGTTGTTTAGAGGTATTTTGGTTTTCATGTTGTAGTATATTGTTAGAATGATCTGGATCATCTGTGATCAATTAGTTTACCCTATGAGAAATGCATCACTCAGTGTTCGATTTGCTTGGTCTGGTTTTTAGTGTGTCGGCGAGCGGCAATAAATGTCACATGCAAAGTGTCTCACCAGGTAAACAAGCCTTATAGTGTAAGAAGTACACTACAGATGTTATATCATATATATAAATCAAAAGGGTAAATTGAACCAAATTGGGGTCAGAGACAGTATAAGTAAAGGTATAGTGGAGGATGTTCTTTTTCTGAATGGATAATCTAAAAAAGTTGTCCTCCTAATTGTCAATCATTCTGGTGATATGTTTACATAAAGCCGTCCTACATGCCTCATTTTCACTTACTGGTGGTGAGTCTGACATGGTGGAAAAATTGCTAATCTTTTGGAAAGAAAGCTTGTATGACCGATACAAACAGCAACTTCTAAACAGAGTGTGCACAATGAGAAATGGGCTTGTGCATGCTCTCACACATGTTTAATGAGCGTTCCCTCTCGAGAGCGGGTGCAGGGTTGAGCATGAGCATGTAGAGAAGGCTGGTCTTTTAAAAAATTTGCAAAAATCCTCCTCTATACCTTAAAGTAGAGAGGTATGAAAGGAAGTGGAATGAGTTAAAATTGGGATGTCTGGCTCTTAGAAGGGGATTCAAATTGGAAATGCAAAGTAGCAACTTAAAACAGAAATATAACATGCAGAAGCTGCCAGTGTTAACTAAAACAGGACAGCGAGCAATCTATTTGTGCATCTATACTGTACAAAATAAACAAATCTAAAGGTCCTGAAGGACCATTTTAAAAGTACATTTTAAATGTTTACCAGTCTACAGAATTCTTGACTCTATCTATTTTGATGCTCAGTTTTGTAGTTATTTAAAAACAACATTTAAGCTAATCTACATTTTTCCATAAAACAAAGCAAGCTTTCAATTGTTTGATGTAGCACTGTCTTTATCCTAGATTTTATGTAATTGTATCTTGGCTGCTCACTTCCAACAACAAATCAGACCATAAGTAAATGGATTGGGTTAATTAAAATTTCAAGGCTGATTTATATTGCCATTTAGCTTAACCGCACAGACAAATATGTATGACACTGCAAACAGTTAAACGTATTGACGCACCTTCAGATACCAAGACACCCACATCCAGGCCTGGAGCTCCTCCAGGACTCTCCTCGGGCCACAGGAGACCGGCCTTGACGTTTATGCTGATCTAGCACGGCAACAGCAAATATTGCTCTGCACTCCCTCTTCATATTGTCTGTGCTCTGTCCCGCACGGTTCACTTACTCGCCGCTCCACAGCCTAGAGGCAAATAGACTGTGAACATCCAGACTGTCCATCATGGAGTGGAGTTTGACAGTCCTCTGACAGCCACAGAGAATTGATTCTTCAGGTCTGCTGTTTATTTTCCACAGCCAAGCCACACCATCGCTCGGCTGAAAAGGCACCCTCGCTTTCCTGAATTCAAGGACCAGACCCCTTCCCTCCCCGGACACACATACACTTCAGTCTTCCTAACTTTTCTCTGTTACTGCATCAAACAACTGACACAGACAAAATAACAGGGTCCACGCTCCCCCCCCACTTCGTTTCTCTAAAGCTATGTTCAACTTGTCAACAAGCTATGAGTGGCGGCAGCTGGAAAAAAACAAAACGGTGCACAATTGTACATTTTTCGGTCACTAATTAAAAGTTTAAAGTAAGACAAATGGTTTTCACAAAATGTAAATGTATTCACACATGATTTCCTTTCTCCATAACAAACTTTCTTACCCTTCAGAAGGACATCAACAGAACTTAAGGTATGACATCATTGCATTGACCAAATGTTTTTGGATGAAATCATCGCTTGTTCTATTACTCCTTTTATGAAACCTATATGCAGTTAGAGCACGTTTGTAACAAATAGGGCTGCAAACAGTTCCTGCACCCCATTTGTTGTGTTAACAAGCACCGTCTCAAAATACAAGCTCTTCACAATTTGTCATCCTCCACCTCCTAAACCACCTCAAGCCTTGTTATAAAAACTGTATCTTTTGAAATCTTTCTTAGTCTTTATAGGTTGAGTGTTCACAATTGTTGGCTACAGAAAACATGTAAAGCACACTTAGAGGGGCTCCAGAGCATGAGGAGATATGGCTGCACTCAAATAGTCTCTTAAAGAGAGAATGCAGACATAGCCATGTACAACGACTGTCAACTAACCATGCACATGATGATAGAATTTGCCATGAATATGGTTTTTTGATTTTACTGTTGGAGAGTTGGAGAAAATTATTTTTTTTGCGAGTACTCCATGGAAGGCATGCACATTTCTTTTTTTTAACAAGATGAAGTATTTTCAAGTCTTCCAGGTGCTGAAATGGCTATTATAAAAATAGAAATACCAGATTCAAAGTCAGGTTTGGTGGAAGTCTGATGAGGACTGAGATTAGCTCTTTTAGATTTAATGCGATGTAGGTGGCAACAGAAACAAAAATCAAGAAACAGTAAACTACGAATCAAAACCAGGAGATGCCAGGGAGAAAGACACATGGCGATTGAAGAAATGAAGAGAAACAAGCACTGAGGAAATGCACAGCAAAGGTAAGTATGTTAGACAGAACAAAGACTTGAGTAATCAGCTGATAGGGAGCAGGTGTGCATAGAGGAGAATAGAAGCTAGGGGAAAGCAGACTGGTGAAGGGGACAACAGAGAGCAAGAAGAAAAGAAATCATGATAAAACCTGAAAGATAAAAGTATATATTTGATTATGAAAAGTTACTTAGTTTTATGTAAACTATTATATGCCTAAAAAGAGGAAACTTAAATTTGGATGAACTGGGATTAAGAGTTGTTTATTAGGTTTAACAGAAAAACCCAGACCTTTAAACGTGCACTGCTGAAATTTAAATGTTAAGTTTTTTTTATGTGCCATACATGCCATTAAAATTCCCCGACAAGGAAAAAAAGTCTTCATCTGTTCACCCTTAGCTTCAAATATCAAATTCCAGCAGAGATGGCAAAAGTACTCACTTTCCGTACTTGAGTAAAAGTACAGATACTTGTGTTAAAAAATACTCTGGTAAAAGTGGAAGTACTGATTAAACTTCTTTACTCAAGTAAAAGTAACAAAGTACAGGCTTGTAAATTTACTTAAAGTATAAAAGTAAAAGTAGAAACCACTTTTTTCATGCCGTTGCCTACATTTTAAATGGATGTCTGCCAATAGGACTAGATCTCCGTTGTGTTCATTTTCAATCATCTCGTCGTCCATACTATTATGCTAACGCCACCGCCACCAAGCTGCAATGATTTGCCGCGAATGAATACCGCCGAATCTGTCGATTCATCTTGTAGTGGTGCGTCAAATGCAACGTAGATTCCCATCCAATTAGATTGAATTTGGTATTGATGACGTGAAAAATAATAACGGTAACTCCATTGAAATGATTCAAAACTAAAGTAACGAGCCAATTTTTAAAAATGCAAGGAGTAGAAAGTACAGATATTTGTGTAAAAATGTAAGGAGTAGAAGTAAAAAGTCGCCATAAAAATAAGTAGTAAAGTAAAGTAAAAATATCAGAAAAATCTACTTGAGTACAGTAATGACGTATTTGTACTTCGTTACTTCCCATCTCTGAATTCCAGGACATAGTTTGGCACTCAGATCCAATACGAATATGAAAAACTACAATGTGACATTTACATTGAATCACAGCAAATCTCTTAGTACAGGATATTAAGTTATTATTTGGTTAAAAAAGCAGCCTTCTTGTTACACCCTTCTGTACAGAGATTTATTTTTGAAGGAAACCCCTTTTTTAAAATAAAAAGCCCACTTCTGCAGGCCAGGCACCAACTAATCATCAGTGTTTCAAACAACCTGACTTAAAAATGCAGTTATCTCTATCACCTGTCTCCCTCCTTGACTTGGGCCATACGGACAAGATAAATAGTGTAATTTATTTTATCTGTCACTTACAGCACTTTTCTTCAGTGTCTTTGCATTTGTCATGTCTAAAAATAAAAAAGCAAAAACATCCAGCAAACACTCCAGGGGGAAAAGATAATGATGAACATGTCTTCATTCCAAACTTTATACTTTCAGACCATACCTGAGTTTAATCAGGAATCCCTTGTCAGCTCCTGAACTATAAACTGATTAATTGTGTCAAGCAGATTTGGAAAGTGGGAATAATGCTTCTCAGATTTTCACAACCTGGATGCTCAGCATAGCAGTAGTTGATGCTTCCAGCTCTTCTATTTTTCTGTGTGCTTTATCAATATTCCATGTGTTTAATCACAGTAAACTAAACTGAACTTTAAATATATATATCTATATATATATAGATATAGACATATATCTATCTATATCTATCTATCTATATATAACTTTAAACTAGTCTTAACTTTAAAGAAATACACTATACATTGCTAATATGGTAAATGACTATTCTAGCTGCAAATGTCTGTTTTTTGGTGCAATATCTACATAGGTGTATAGAGGCCCATTTCCAGCAACTATCACTCCAGTGTTCCTTGGGTACAATGTGTTTGCTCATTGGCTCAGAAGGCTAATTGATGATTAGAAAACCCTTGTGCAATCATGTTCACACATCTGAAAATAGTTTAGCTACAAAACTGACCTTCCTTTGAGCAGATTGAGTTTCTGGAGCATCACATTTGTGGGGTCAATTAAAGCTCAAAATTGCCAGAAAAAGAGAACTTTTATCTAGAATTTGACAGTCTATTCTTGTTCTTAGAAATGAAGGCTATTCCATGTGAGAAATTGCTAAGAAACTGAAGATTTCCTACAACGGTGTGTACTACTCCCTTCAGAGGACAGCACAAACATGCTGTAACCAGAGTAGAAAAAGAAGTGGGAGGCCGCGTTGCACAACTGAGCAAGAAGATAAGTACATTAGAGTCTCTAGTTTGAGAAACAGACGACTCACAGGTCCCCAACTGGCATCTTCATTAAATATTACCCGCAAAACACCAGTGTCAACATCTTCAGTGAAGAGGCGACTGCAGGATTCTGGGTTTCAGGGCAGAGTGGCAAAGAAAAAGCCATATCTGAGACTGACCAATAAAAGAAAAAGATTAAGATGGACAAAAGAACACAGACATTGGACAGAGGAAGACTGGAAAAAAGTGTTGTGGATGGATTAATCCAAGTTAGAGATGTTTAAATCACAAAGAAGAACGTTTGTTCATATATATATATATATATATATATATATATATATATATATATATATATATATATATATATATATATATATATATATATATATATATATATATATATATATATATATATGCATACAGAGGTTGAAATAAGTATAGAGCACAACACCATTTTTCTCGGTAAATATATTTCACTTGATTGTTACCAACATCTGCTGAGTCAATAGCAACTCTAGATATATATTTACAGAGAAAATTTGTGCCATGTTCAATGTTTATTTCATCTACTGTAAAAATACATACAGGTGCTGGTCATAAAATTAGAATATCATGAAAAAGTAGATTGATTTCAGTAATTCCATTTAAAAAGTGAAACTTGTATATTATATTCATACATTACATACAAACTCATATATTTCAGATGTTTATTTTGTTTAATTTTGATGATTACAAATGACAACAAATGAAAATCTCAAATTCATCATATCAGAAAATTAGAATATTGTGAAAAGGTTCAAAATTGATGGCCCCTGGTGCCACACTCTAATCAGCTAATTAACTCAAACCACCTGCAAAAGCCTTTAAATGGTCTTTCAGTCTAGTTCTATAGGCTACACAATCATGGGGAAGACTGCTGACTTGACAGTTGTCCAAAAGACGACCATCGACACCTTGCACAAGGAGGGCAAGACACAAAAGGTCATCGCTAAAGAGGCTGGCTGTTCACAGAGCTCAGTGTCCAAGCACATTAATAGAGAGGCGAAGGGAAGGAAAAGATGTGGTCGAAAAAAGTGTACAAGCAAGAGAGATAACCGCACCCTGGAGAGGATTGTGAAACAAAACCCCTTCAAAAATGTGGGGGAGATTCACAAAGAGTGGACTGCAGCTGGAGTGAGTGCTTCAAGAACCACCACACACAGACGTATGAAAGACATGGGTTTCTGCTGTCGCATTCCTTGTGTCAAGCCACTCTTGAACCACAGACAGCGTCAGAAGCGTCTTGCCTGGGCTAAAGAGAAACAGGACTGGACTGCTGGTGAGTGGTCCAAAGTCATGTTCTCTGATGAAAGTAAATTTTGCATTTCCTTTGGAAATCAAGGTCCCAGAGTCTGGACGAAAAGAAGAGAGGCACTTCATCCACGTTGCTTGAAGTCCAGTGTAAAGTTTCCACAGTCAGTAATGGTTTGGGGTGCCATGTCATCTGCTGGTGTTGGTCCATTGTGTTTTCTGAGGTCCAGGGTCAACGCAGCCACATACCAGGAAGTTTTAGAGCACTTCATGCTTCCTGCAGCTGACCAACTTTTTGGAGATGCAGATTTCATTT